GGACTTCTGCCAAAACATCCCGGATACATGAACTATGTCCGGGTAAGTTCTTACTTATAAGCACTCATTAAGCTTCCAACAGCTAAAGCATATAGGACGTCCTTTCGATCTCGCATTGGTTCTTGGAACACTGAAAGTTCCCAAAACTATTACCCTTTACTATAGGAACAGGCGCAGGTTTACTCACATATATACTTTATTTCTTTAGAATCTTCTCTAAGTATACACTTGAGATAGTTCTAATACCCCTTTTCTTTTTGTCTCGGTAAGTTCCAATTTCTGGAACGAATGATGCTTTACCAAGATCATTCTCATTAAAACTTGAGAACAAGAACTGTTTCTTCTCCAATAGTAGATTAACACCACTACTAGCGAGTAAGGTGCTACCCACATGCAGGATTGGGAAAATAAAATTCTCATGTTTAAACTTTGCATAAATACAATTGTCCTCTACATTCTCTTTAAACCCAAACTTTCTTATTGTACTGTCAAAATTCAAGTACCAATGTCTTGAATCTTGCTTTAATCCATAAATGGATTTCTTCAGGCAATATCCCTTATGTTATGTTCCTTCCACGACAAAACCTTTTGTGTTGTGCCATGTAAACTTTCCATACAAACCCCGTTGAGGAATGTGTCTTTAGATCCTTCTGATGTAACTCTAAATCGTAGTGTGCCATTAACGCCATTATGATTCTAAAAGAATTGTTGCATTCTCATTATAATCTATTCCTTCTCTTTGTGTAAATCATTTTGCCACAAGTGGCGCTTTATAGCTTTCCATATTCCCTTTGGATATCTTTCTATATTCTCTTTGGAGTCACCTTTGTCTTGCAGACCCATTACAGCCTACTGTTTTGGCTCAATTGGAAATTTCTTCTAAGTCCCAAACATCGTTGGTATTTATCGATTTCATTTCATCTTCCTTTGCTTCTTGCCATTTAGACGAGTGAATGCCTCTCATGGCTTTTTCAAATAAGGTGGAATTACCCTCCATTTGAATTTCTTTCTTAACATTGACTCATTAGTCATCAGAAATATCTGATTTTCTTATTCTTTGAGACCTTCTGGGGCCTCGTGGCACTTCTTTCATATGGGGCTATTGTTACTCTTCATTGCCAAAAGACAATTGTTCTATAGCCCCCTGTATCACAAGATTCTTATTTACTTATTCATCTTCTTTAAGAGCTAACATCAGGTGTAGTATATGTCATACAACATCAACATGTATTAAGCAATTTGTTGCTCTAAAACACTGTAGTGGATATGTAATCCTACTTCTATTCAAGCCTTATGTATCTACATACCATGCTCCCCCAGGTTACTCTATCTTCTGTAAAGATGGTGTATCTTCAAATTTCTTATTTTGGGTTTAATCTGCTAAAAACTCATATGGCCCGTTTAGCACCGCCTTGATAACTCTAAACTCGTCCAGTATGAATACTAGCCGACTATGCTATCTTCCTATTAGAATTGTAAAAGGTCCAGAAATTTAGCTATTTCTTTACTTTAGGGGTATCGTTGTTATGACCGTCTTACTCCCTCAACGATCACATTCATCTTTTATAGGTCACTTTTACCTTCAATGCATAGTATGCATTGTATTATCTGAAGTATGAGGAAGTATCTTTCTTAATTGTCTTTCTTAATTAATCTTACATTTCTCCCCCTCGAAATGTGGTATGAACTTTTCTACCACAATTTCAAAACATTCAGAACTCTTATGAATGAGGAAACTTTGATTACTTACTTCATCCACATGATTACATCATGTAAACAAAATTTGTATGGAGTACATTTTCCTTATTACACTTCAAAACTCAACATAGTCTATTATTATCAGTACTTCTGCAAGTCACGCTTGCATATTATTCTTATCTTTTGGTTCACATGCAACTTTCTTTTGTTCTTAAACTCATTGAGTACTTAATGACCACGACACAATCAGAGTGTACGGTCAGCACTAGGATAGCATAAGAGCTACCCCAAACTTCTCTTCATGTGCTGGATACAGTTAGAGCACATGAGTCATCACATCCTTCTTCCACCATGCGGGATAAGTACTATGCCAACTTTACCCCGCCATGTGGGTATTTTCTCAAACTTTTCCTGTCATGCGGGTACTATCACAAACTTTTACCGTCATGCAAGATAATTCCCTTAAACGGACATAAATGCCAGGATTGGCTCGTGTGCAATTATCAAATTCAGAAATAAATCCAAATATTTTTTTAACACACATGTTTAATCCAATGTTGGTCTAATTAAACATGTATATGACTTTTACAACTCTCATAAGTGAAACTAAAAATAAATTCTTCTTCACAGAAAGTACATAAAAGACATTTCTCAATGAAGACTCTCATTGATCTACCTCTTTTCTTAGATCAATATCCTCGAATTCTTTTCTTTTGAAGCCATTCTATAAAGAGAACACAGTCCCTTCAACAATGGCATTCTTTCATACATAACTTGCTCTTAGGCATTTCATCATCTGAGTCACAAGTACCCAGCTCATTTCTCTTACTGCCTTCAAGAATGAAAGCATGGAGGTCTTTTGTCTGAAAAATATTCAACAATAATGTTCATTAAACTTTGAAATCTTTATGTTCTATTCTATATCACTGTTGGGCAGAAATAGAATAAAACATCATTCTTCTACATTAATTCCACATCACCGTTGGACAGAAATGGAATTAATGTATAGAACCTCAATAATCTTGAAAACATAGAACTGCTCCTCAGAATTAAATTCTCCCGTTGGTTCGAATTTAATTATAAGATAATCAACTTCAATGCAGCGAAAACATAAAAATACATTTCTTTAGTTTAAGAGCATTCCTTGATCTTTATCTTTTCTCTGAAAAATTGGTCACTTTGATGCAAAATTCATCAGAGATTTAAAATTTAAACATAGAACTCATAGAATTATAATATTGTTATCATCAACGTTGGTCAGAAAATAACAATACCATAATTTAACTTTAACTATCAACCGACTATTCCTCTAGTTAAAATTTTCCCATTGGTTCTAATTTTAACTAGAGGATTAACTTTTCATCATTTACTGAATAACTACAACTGCTCTTCAAATTAAATTCTCCCGTTGGTTCGAATTTAATAAGAAGATAATAAACTTTAACTTCGCAGCGGAAAAAAGAACTCATTTTCACAGGGAAAAAATAAATACTTTTTCTATTTTCTTTTGAGCCAATTTCCATTTTTCAATAATCTGTAAAAAATAAAAAACAAAAAAATAGCTCGTGGGCTCATTCTGACTATTTCGGCCCAAAAACCGGCAAAAACCGGCTCGGCCCACACCTCCGCGCGCGCGCAGGCTGCACCCAGGCCACAACCTGGGCCTGGGCCGGCAAAGTCGCGCTGCCGCGCGCGCCCGCCTGGGCTGCGAATCGGCCCGATCAATCTCGGCCGTCCGTGCCGATCCGATGGCCGAGCGGCGATATTGCACGAATGAAAACGCCGCTGCGGCCGCCCGATCAGAAACCCTAGTTCATTCGTCTCTATGCTCTCTCTCTCATCGCCGCTCTCTCTTCTCTCCTCAGTGCAGCGCAGCCGCCACCGAGTGACTCGAGCGGGCGAAATGGCGGAGAGGGCAGCCATGGCGCCGTTGCCGGCCCCCTCGCCGGCGTGTGCGCTCCCCAGCGGGTGAGCGCGTCGCCGTCGAGCGGCCTGGCCACGGCGCTTCTTTGGCTGAGCCCGGGCGGACAGCTCCCGGTTCAGTCTTCTTCTCCTGCGCCGGCGAAGGGTCTCCCGGCGCACGGCGAGGTAGACCACCCCTTCCCCTTCTTCCCCATCAAATTTGGTTCTCTTTTGTGTTCGGATTGAACGGATTTGGTATGGGGATCGAAGTTAGGGTTAGGGTTTCACTGTTGTTCTTTTCCCAAATTGATTTCGGGTTTTAGGGTTCGGTTTGACATGAAACCGAGCCCTTCTTCTTGGTTAGGGTTCAACCGAACCCTCTTCTTTTCTCATTTGCTTAACCCAGTTAGGGTTAGGGTTCAACCGAACCCTCTTCTTGTTAGAGCCACACTGGATCTAACTTTCTTATCCTTTTCTAATCGGTTTACCCGATCTAGATCTAAAACCCTAGAACAAACGTGGCTCCGGTACCATTGTAGAAACTGTTGGAACATAGGAATCATAGATCTAGCCATAGCTTATTCTATTCGGTATAAAAGGGAGACACAGTACATCCTAAGCATGTATAGAACGAACTAGAGAGAGACAGAGAGGGTAGAGAGATGGTGGTGAACCTGACACCGCGGAGGGGGGAAGGTTCAGCGGACGCCATCGGGTTCGTTGGTGATGTCTGCGCACGGGCAGCAACGGTTGGTGAAATTCGACGGCGGCGCAGTGCAGCGGTGGAGGAACTTCCCGTCACTAGCTGCGCCCCTCACTTAGATCGGGTTTAGGGTTTGTCGGTGGGGAGGTCGGCTCAGGTCAACCTCGTATCAAGAGCCGTTTGCCCCACCTCCTCTTTATAGGCACTATGCGGACGGGGCCCACTAGCCACTAGATGGCTGAACGTCTCCTATCAGGACGCGGTCAAGGGGTCCGTCTCGACCATTGGGTCAAGACGGATGAGATCAATTGTAACAGAAACCACTGCCAGCAGGCAGCATACCGAGTTCGAGGGCGGTAGTTTGGGTCCGGCGTTATCCTGATAACAGTGCGGAGCCACGGCGCAGGGATGTCATCACCTTCTTCTCCGCATTCTTGCTGTGTCCAAAGAGTCACATGCATGACATGAGCCGTGAGCCGTGTGACCTTGCTGACACAGAGGAGCCGTGAGCCGGCGGCATGGAAGGGAAGCTTTGTCGTGGAAACACGCGCCGTGCCCACCTCCACACTGAGTTTGTTCAGGTTCTCATCATCCTGGTGTGCGCTCTCCATAGTTTTGCGATCCATGCACAGCCAGTGTGCTGCGCCGCTGTTTACAACAGTGGCCCTATCACGCACCAGGGAGTAACGGCTCCCTTCTAGCCACCTGGTGGGTGTGCTCCAGCTGCGTGTGCCAATAGAGTACGAGTGAAGGTACACCTTACACTGTCTGGTCCAGATCCTTTGGTGGTGATGAGGAGCAGCTGCCCTCTGCCGAGGTTACTGTTATCAGCGGCCGTGACGATGGCGTTCATGGTGACCTGGAGACCAACGCCAGGATAATCCAACCCAAGAGGTGGAGGAGAGTGGGGAGTCTCCAGAGGCGGGAGAAAGTGACACTCGCCGGTGATAGGGTTGCAGAGGCAGAGCAGCACAGGTGGCTTGGGGCGGTCAAAGGTACGGGGCACAAGCTGCATCAGAATGATCCCATGGTGTGCTTCCAGGGGCTCGGCATAGTTGAAGGTGCCATCATGGTCAGGGACGAAGGCTGTGAAGGAACGTTCTGTGGGGCCAATCAGTGGCGACAATGGCGATAGCATGAAGGTGGGAGCGGAGACGGAGGCACCCTCCGTTCTGATCATCTGCTTGCTAAAGTTGAGCCTTGTCTTCTGGAAGAAGAAGCCGATGAGGCATGCGCGGTTGCCCTTAAAGAGCTCGCAGAGGAAGGCCGGGTTAGTGAAGCGGTGCACCCACCAATTGCACGTCATGGAGAAGCTAAGGAGGTCTTTGACGTTGCCCACGCGGGAGAAGATCACGAGTTGGGCATCCTCTGAAACTAGCGCTTCGGACCACCGATCTGCAGCAATTGCCTTGGCGCGCTATCAAGACTTCGGTTCACTGCAACGGTGCAGGATTATTAGGAGCGCTTCCAAGCGTTGCTCTGCCATGCCGAGCACCTCCAGCCATCTCAGATGGCAGAGTTGTTTGCGACTGGTTTTGCTAGAGCACATCAAATAGGAGGTTGAGCTACGCAAGCCACAAGACTTGCAGACGGCGATGCACCTAGCTCGGGCTTATGAATGCCATGGGCCAGTCACGACGGCGCCGTCAACTTTGGATTCATCGCGACCATCGCCCTATCTGTCAAGTCCTCCACCCATGTCCCTACCAAGTCCACATCCTCGGCGGCCACTTCAACAACACCTCCAGTAGTACCACCAAAGCTACACCATCGATTGACACCACTAGAATTGGCCAATCACCGGAAGTAGGGGCTGTGTTACAACTGGGATTAACAATAATACATCCACGGTCACCGCTTCTAGCTACTATTTTACAATGAAGCGGCTAACTATGAAGATGAGGAAGCGGTGGATGACTAGGGAAAATGACGGCACTAACTAATCAACACATAAACTATTAAAAACTAATTGATATGCATATGAAGACTACAAAATTTGCCCATCATCGACGTATCTAAGAGACGTGCCGAGAACTCCCAAAACTTGCTCATCAACAAGACAACAAACAAATACTAGTACAAAGGCAACACAAATAACAGAACAAGGACCCCTATCGTGGGGTCGAAACTGCAACAACCATTGTTGTTCGTCAGGTGTCAGAGTACATGTCTCCGGTGGCTCGGGTGGACTCAAGAACACAAGAATCACAGAGGGGACACAACGGTTTATCCTGGTTCAGGCTATTGGGGGCCTACGTCAAGCAGCTGATGATCCTTATACTCAGGAGCACCCAAAATCTAGGGGTTACAACAGAGTGTAAGAGAGAAAGAGAGAGATTTGGTAGGAGATCGCTCGGTGCATTGTATCAGTCAGCAGTAAGATCAGGTCGGAGCCCCCGAGTCCCGAGCAGAAGGCGGCGGGCGTGCTCCGGATCGGCCAAATGCTTTTGCTGGAGGGTACGCGCGGGCGTACCCGATGGGTATACACTACTGGAATCTCACATTTTTCTGTGTATGCGAAAACACACAGAAAATGCGAATACCGTTAGAAAAATATTTTTCTGACGGTGTACCTTCAGAAAAATACCCACAGAAATATAATGACAGAAAAATTTAATTGTTCTGTGTGTTCGCCGTCAGAAACAATTTTTCTGTGGGTGTTACACACACAGAAAAATTGCGTTAGCCCAGATTAAATTTAAATGTTGTGTGCGTTGATCCTCATAGAAAAAAAGAAAAGCCTGACAGGAAAATGATTTTTCTGTGGGTGTTACACGCACAGAAAAATTACGTTAGCCCAGATTAAATTTAAATGTTGTGTCGGTCTCGGTTAACGTACAGAAAAATAACAGACCACCGACAGAAAAAACCCTTAACCATGCAGCAAATTGGATACAATAATTATATACAAACAGAATAGTAGCAACAACATATTAAATATAGACTGTCCATACTGTAATTTCATCACAACATAATAGATAACATACATATAAAGATCCAAATGTTCAGCACATTCATTAATGGCATCCGGGCTACATATAAATGATGTCCAAATGGTCCGGCATCAATACATTCAAAAGCATTACCATCTCATCTCAACAGTTCATGAATTTCACTACTGATAACTACCGCACTACATATGCAAGTGTAAATCCAATTGACTATATGTTGCCTCACTGCCGGCCTTCCTACTGTCCTCACTTGGCAATTTCTCCTGCTTAAAACCAAACATGTCCCAATGAGTGAAGGTATATATAGTAATAGCTGAGCAAATTTTAATTGTAACTATGGTAATAGCTGAGCAAGATCATCAGCCTATACTCTCAAGTTACATGATGTCATTTTCATCACAGGCTGAAAAGCAAAGATTTTCATCATTTGCACCGCTGTCAGCTGACAGTGCAACAACAATACATGGTGCATCAGCAAAAACGGTTTTTACATGCACCAAGCACTGAGGTACCATATAGCAATGTGAATTCGGAGATAGATGTATGCATCATAATAAGAGCACTTAGTTGCAGCCCAAATTAGCATATCTAATTTTTCTCAAAGATACAGTAGCCGGGGCTCAGAAACTAAAGATCTTATATGATATAGTGTAGGATAATAGGATATGCAATAAGCAGGCTACAACTGGAAGGTAAATGATATGGGCTCATATCTGCAAAACCCCAAATCACAGGTGCTTGATATATGAACCTGTATCATCAACATGGGTATGAGAAACTGAAATTCTTTGCTAAGAGTTACTAATCTAAATTCAGTAGACTATAAGGAAACTGGAAAAGTATACCTTGACTACTTTAGCTCCACCACTCTGGTATGCGATGTGAGGTATTTAACCTCTTCTGAGGTGAATGAGCAGGAAGGATTCACCTATTGAACAAGGCACGGCATAAAAATAAATTAAAAAGTGTATACAACAGTCCATTAATATAAAAACCTAGATCAAGGAGAAAAGAAGTCATACCCTTAGATCAAGAAGTGCATGTGTGTGGATAAAGATAAACCAATACTATACTCCTTTAATAAGAATGATCTCTCTCTAGTTTTTACTTTGAGAACATGGCTATTACTCTCTCTTTCTTCCTTTTTTCAATACATGAGCCTTCTTGTGCTCATCATTTTTTTTCAATACTTTGGGACCTTCATGTATCCCTTTTTTTTGTTCTTGGACCTTCATGTGTCCATATTTTTTAAAGGTTTTTGCATAGCCCATGTCTCTTCTTCTAAACCACATATTTCGAGAGTGATCATTATATTTTTAGAACATGGAGTATTTACCTAACAAACACATATTTTTTTGTCTACTCCCAATGTAGGAGTACAGTTTTTGGTGGATGGAGGCATGTTTTAGTGTATTCCCAATGTAGGAATAGCTTATATATGTGGAGTGTACGTGATCTTGATCTTGGGGGCATGATAACTTTCTCAACAAGGGTCCACAAGACTTGACAAAACTCAATGCAGGAGTAACTAGCATAATTTCAGAGGTTTTAAGCTCCACTCACTAGATGTGGCTTTGGTAGTAATTTGAATATAATTGAGGAGCATGCTATTTGAATTTTGATTTTGTAAAATAAATCCGAAGTTCTTTGCATAAAAGAGCATGGTTCATTGTCATCCCACTATATCATATATTCCAATTGCTTAGATAATATGGGGTCCCTATGATAAGTTGTTCACAAGTTATAGGAATATTAGCTAGAAATAAAGAATATCCAAATTTTAATTGAAGGATAGCATGGAGATGGAGCTTCATGATTTGTTCAATTTTAGTTCTTATTTAATGTAGAGAGTTGAGGGGAGTGTTGCACAAACCATCGTTGAAGATGAAGGAGCTAAGCAGAATCTAAAATGGTTTGGTAAACTAGAGGTTTAGCCAATCCATTCTAGACTCATATGTTCTGTCCCTCTACATGTTGGATTGTTGATGTTGTGCAACATGTTGGTGGGAGATCTCGAATGTGTGTTAGTTATGCTTGAGAGATCTCCCCCCACTTATTCTTGTATCTGTTTATTCAAAAAGAGAAACTAAGGTGGAAACAAAGAAGGACTCTCCTAGTCTGAACACTGGGGAGCTTAAATTTTATTATTATTATCTTTATTATAATCTTTTTATTATAAACTTGTGCACCCAACTTTTTTTCTAGTTTTAACTCAAGCAAGGCTAAAGTAAGGCTGCAATGTGTTCCTAGCCTTGGTTTATCTCCATATTAGATTACTTTCTATTTGTTTATGAAAATGATAACATCAAGTTTCATTAATCAAGATTAAACACCATGTTTAATTTTGATTAAAGGTCATTTTAACCTAAGCACCATGCCTAATTTAAAAAACCTATGAGTGTGCCACACAGGCTTATGTGACTACACCCAAACCAGAGCATATGACATAAACCATGAAAGCATGAATTTGTATGAGCAGGTTATATCTTCATGGAAATAAAACATGAGTAAAGGAGTTCATGAATTTTTATTTACCTTTGCATACTTGAGTATATTTATCGGCAGCATATGTGGATGAGAGCTGTGGGACTGCTGCAGCAGTGGCTTGATTGTGGTGGTAAGCAAAGTCTTTAGGAGAGGAGAATCCTCCTTCTCTCTCTTCTTTTCCCCTTTTTTTATCTCATCATTTTTTATCATAAATTTTTTATATAACAAGGTAGAGCTAACATCATCATCTCTTTTTTTAGGATGGTCTTTGGTGTGTATGGAACTTTGGACTATCACCATCCTCCCCCACACTTGAACTTTTGTGTGAAAGTCAAGTGTGTAGGATCGAGGTCTCCTTTTGAGTGTGTTTCATTACCAAGGATCATCACGTATGTAGTTGATGCAGCTCCCATGATGTCAGGCATCGTATGCCCCCTGTTCTTCTTGATCTTTAACCTGAAATGGTTAGCAAACAAGAATATCCGAAGGTGCATTCTATCCTGCCAACACGTTCTTGCTTTTTATTGACACTACTAGGAATATCCACTTCTATGACGAAAAACTTTCGTCACTAAAGGAGTCAAATTCGTCATAATTTTAGTTTTATAACGAATTTATCATGAAAAAATGGTTCATCATAGAAGTCGCGTCATTCTTGAAATTCCATGATGATTTTAGAAATTCGTTATAGATGTGGATAGATCTATGACGAAAACTGACCGTCATAGAACTGCTTTGGCATGCGTGGTAAGGGACAGCCACGCTGGCGGGTGCTTCCATTGGAGATGCTTTCAACATGTACATGCTATAGCTAGTTGCATTGGAGATGGTTTGGGTACGTGTCACCTTCTTATTGCACAACGTGGCC